GACGCCATGTTTGTGACGTTACATTGCCGTTAATTGTGCTCCGTGGTTACATAACAAATTGATTTTGAAATAAAAGAAATGATTTCTTTTAAACAGAATGACATTAAACTTTACACATCAACAAATAAGATATAGTTACACATGATATTGAGCTAATTATTCGAACAAACCTTGTAAATGTTGCTTATTTATCATTACAAGAAACAACCTTTGCAATAAAATTTGTTTCTTGTACATGTAACGTACATTATTCTTTTTGGAGACGCGTCAGGTTCTTTGAAAATTTTCCGAAGTCTAAATCAATGTTAAACTTCAATAATCATTTTTTTATCCAGCAACTACCCCTTGCATTGACCTAATAAAGGTAACATAATAAACCAAAGCTTTATCCGGTCACTGCCCTAATAAAGCCTCGTGCATGTATTCCGACGTTCTAAAAGCATTGTGACGTCATGTATATTGCAATGTTTACGCCATTGGCGTCATAGTTTCAACTGCAGAGATGTGCCTGAATCTGTCGAGATAAGCTTGTTTTGGACGTTCAAATATTAAAACTATGTTGCAGGATAAACAAGATATATGATAACTGTCTTGAAATATAAGCGACATTTGGGCTCGGGTCGAAAACGTAAGAGATGTCGGCAAGCCTCGCCCTCTATCACGTTTTTTCACCCTCGCCCAAATATCGCTTGTATTTCAAGACAGTAACCATGTATTTTATTTTTTTTCCTTTTGGGATTAGGGACTTATAGATGTTAAACGATAGGTATGAATTGTAAGTCTTGGAATTTGAATCACCTCTGATCTCTGGCTTAATTAACTTAAAGTTAATTACATGTTACATAATTATCACGATACATTGTATCGATACCATCGTGTGTTTAATTTGTGCAAATGACACTGTTCAATTGTTACGAAAAAGCTAACATAGTTAAAAATCTTTACTTTTTATTTCTTAAATATGAAAAACACAATATTGCATTAATGAAACCTTTAAATATTTCCCCGCTACATGTATCATAAAAAACTCAAATTAATTCTACAAAGGAACAGGTTTTATATGTTTATAAGATTTTATCGATTTATTGCATATTAAAAAGGAAATATAGTGTCATTATGAAAATATTACGTAGAATTACAATTTACATGAAATGTAGGTTAACAAATTGTAAAATATCACATTCAACAACTGTACATGACTGTAGTTAACTGAGATTGATTGCTGCAATACACTTATTTCTTTTATTTGGGATATTTGATATTGATATAATAAGATTATAAAAAGCAGCAAACATACAACATATCCGCATCTTTTTGAAGAAAAAGTACATTTTCAAAACAGTCATAACTAATGTATGCTCATTTTTTTTTTCTGAAGTACAATGTGTGGATGCAACATGATGAAATATCTGCAGCTGTTCTTTGTGATATGAGAGATATCATTTCATTTCTATACTTTTGTTTGTATCCATATGCATCTGAGGTATGGGATAATATTTCCGCAGCTGACTCTGATAGGTTGAAGAAATTACAATAAGAAGCTGTGCATATTGTTACTCGCCTTCCTATTTATGCTCCGCGTTAAATCTTTTCATTATGAAACAGGATGGGAACACTTGTCTATAGACGGGAAGAAAGAAAATTATGTTTAATATATAAATTAAAACATAGTACAGAGTATCTATTAAACCTTTTACTTCTGATGTCTCACAAACTACCCATACTGTATACGTATTCGTTACAATATTTAGATTTCCCATAGGGGATCCGGGTTAGAATAGGTCCTCAGTATCCCCCTTGCCTGTCGTAAAAGGCGACTAAATGGGGCGGTCCTTCGGATGAGACCGTATAAATCGAGGCCCCATGTCACAGCAGGCGTGGCACGATAAAGATCCCTCCCTGCTCAAAGGCTGTACGTGCCGAGCATAGGCCTAAATTTGCAGCCGTTTACCGGCAATGGTGACGTCTTCATATCAGTGAAATATTCTGGAGAGAGGACGTTAAACAGTATACAATCCATCAATCAATCTATATCCAAATGTAACTCAAACTAATGAAAATATTCATTTTTTCCATCTACAATATCACTATAGAATGCTTTGTCTAAAGATACTACAAAACTCGATACTATAAACCTTTCAAAAGAAGACTTTAAAAGTGAATTGGCTCCTAAATATTTTCTTATGGTGATAAAAACTCAAATTTAACAAGAATGAGACACGATTTAAGTATCATTGAGTCAGATTTTTAAAGATTAGATTTTCAGAAAACACTCAGTGTTATTGTGGGTGCATGTGTATATTAATGAAAACACTGAACACCTCTTCTTGTACTGTAAAAATGATGCTGAAATTAAAACAGAATTATTCCACAGTATACGAAATAACAACGGAGAAATAGGCCGTAACTTTATTTCGTTTGGGTACCCAAATTTTAGTCAGCTAAATAATATTAATATTGTTAAGCTGCACATAAATATTTAAAAAAACAAAATGATTTGCTGAAAAACCAGCGTAACCAATACGTGTCTTTTACAACTCTCTCCTTCTTTCTTCTCTCCTTGCACTCCCATTCCCTTTCTTATTTCTCTACACACTCTTCTTTCTTCTTTATTTATATTATCGTATAGTTGTTGCTTGTACACAAGTGTATGTAATTTTGTTATTTTCTTTGTGTTGGAGGACAATCTTATTTGATAAACCTTGTGTCCATTCCATTTGATTGTGTTCAATAAAATATGTTTGGATCAAATCCATATACTGCAAGATCAATACCATGAACTGGAACGTTTCCATTTTTTTCACGAGAAAGGTTACCTGCACTTTAAACCAAGTTAACATACTAGACACAACTAAATTTAAGTTTTTTTGTATGTTTTCCCAAAAGAGCAATATACAGGTGTTACCTGCACTTTAAACCAAGTTTACATACTAGACACAACTGAATTTAAGTTTTGTGTGTGTGTGTGTGTGTGTGTGTGTGTGTGTGTGTGTTTTACCTAAAGAGCCATATACATGTATGATTAGAGTTTCATATGGCCCCTTAAAATGAATATCTTAATTTTACTTTATTGGTCATTTTCAATTTGATCTAAATGCCAGTATTTTAAAGAATATGACGTCATAAAATTCACGTTTTCCCGCCATTTTAGCAAATTTTGTATCAGTTATCCTTCCAGAAAATATAGAGGTCAGCCTAGAACAAACTTTATACATGTATATTTACCTAAGATTTATCTATCCAATACTATTTAGTGACAAAAAAATTATGTACCGTATACACTCACCTATAAGTCGGTTCTTTGGGTGAAAAATGTTGGTCCAAAGCTCATAGTCCAACTTATAGGCGAGTCATTGAAAGATGAGTATTTTTTCTGAAGGGTAGCAATATAAGATTATGTATAAAGTACAAGTATTTATGAATTTTTGCAGTTTTATTTATTCTTCAGTAGGCATTCCATGTTACTTTTAATGTTTTAGAATTAAATATTGATGTCATTTCTTTTTAAGCATTAATTAAAACCTCGCTAAAGCATCACAACATTGATTAAAAATTGTCAATTAATTCTGGAAAAAAGTTGTTCCGACTGATAAGCGGGTCAATGGGAAATCAATCCAAAATAACTGCAAAAATGACAACCTACTTATAGGCGGACCGACTTAAAGACGTGTATATATGGTATGTTCTATACTTTGCTCTGTTTCCCATAAGAAAAATACATCAAGTAAAAGGCATTTGTCTTTTTTGTTAGATAGCAAAAATAGCATCAGTCCTCATGTTATTTACAGCCAGTGAGTGCATATACATGTGAAAATATTTTGGAAATATTTCTAATATAATCTCTTCTACAAAATAAATATCAATTAAAACATATCTGATTATAATTCTAAAATATTGATTTTAAGGGGGCCAAAATCTGCTCTTATCATATATAGTTCTTTGTTGTTTCTTTTTCTAAACATGGGGATTTTCATTTCTTTTTTTAAATGGATTTTTATTGGGTAAAAAAACTTGTAAGGCGGGTTTTTTTTAAAGAAGATTTTTCATTTTATCAAATGCAACGAAATAAGATGTGAATATATTTACAACATTTATAATTTTTTTTTTAAATTCCTTTTAAAGATGCAACTGAATATTCAGCTTAATTATGTATGTATTTCAGAAAAAAAAGTAGGTATTTATGTTTGGTTATATCATTTTACCATGTAAATGAAAAATATTGAAAGGCTGTTTAAAGAATTATAATATTTTATATCATTAATATTTTCGAATTGATTTAATGCATGATAACCCTATTTATATTTATTTTTCTATCTGAAATTAGTTCGAATGACATTGCGATTTTTGAAAGTAGCTTATTTAAAAGACAATGATATGTTAAGAAATATTATGATGAATCTCATGTATCTTTACTTCTGCATTTTCGTGTATGGCTTTTATAAGTATAAAAGAATGCCTAATTACATTCATTGCTTCTACATGTATAGATTGATACATTTATTCTGATATGAAAACATTCTGAATCAAATTGTTTGACCTTCCTTGTGCGATACACAATATATCTATTACTGATCTAGACTTTTGGTTGATTTCCGTTTTATCAATGGCTTATCATTCTAGAGCTATCCCCATACAATCTTTTTTTTTTTTTTTTTCTTACAGTTTTGAAAAAGTATGCTAGAATATATATTATACATGATAGTTCTATAATAACACTGTCTTATATGTTACATGTATTAGCAATTATATATTTTGGATTTAAATTACATTTTCAGAGGATCTTAAAAGTCTTTTAACAACTCTACTTTGAAAAGAAATGTGTATCGAATATTATTAGTATCGAAACTTGAAACAGAAACTCATAAATATAAGGGTTTTCCACGAAAGCATATTTTGCTTACATAATTTCTTTCTTGTTATCACGATCACTGGCAGAATCAAACATTCCAGGGAACAAAGGTTAAGCCAACCTTGATATTATGTCTGGTACGTAAAAATGGGATTCCACGAATGAGTACTTCTTTCTTTTTTTTTAAATTGCAGGTATGGTTGGACATTTAAATTGTTCATCGCAATTTATTTGGTGGCAGAGGTAACTATTCATGATAAAGACTACCAAAAATCTATATTGTTCATGATCAATTGATTCAGTAATATTTTATTTCCTTTCTCGGTAACGGCATTACCCTTGGGTAACTCCTCATTGAAACGGCCAAGGACGGTGTTATCTATTCAAGAAGTGGATTTCACCGAATCGCATTGCCATCTAATATGTCAGTATTAATAGGTGAACTTTCTGTGGGTTTCAATTTCAGACCCAGGAGAATTATTTACAAATGTTTTGGCAAATGTTAATTGTGAATGTATCGAACAAATGTAAGGAGCGCATTTAAATATATATAGAAATTCAATAAACAGCGCATTCAGTGGTTGGCACTAGTTAATTAAGCTGTCTGGTCGTTCATCCTATTATTTTCAGACCAGCGAGCTACAGATATGTAGCTATTGTTCACTTTGATTGACTTTTACATGTAAGTGTACTACGGTGTCACCACTAGCCATTACATTACCCAGTTAGCATATATATATATATATATATATATAAAAAGCACTAAAAAACCAACAACACTGTATATCCTAAATGTCGGATCTACCAAGTAGATACAAGGTCACGGATGGAAATTTATATAAAGCACTAAAAATGACCAACGACACGAACAATAAAAATTGTCAAATTTTCGGGACGCCCTGTCCCTTCCTCAGGACAAAGAAAAAAGTTAAAAAGTCATAAGAACAAAGGAAAAAGAGAAACAAAAACAAAAACAACTAGCACTACTACTAAACTACTAAACACTAGATATTTACATACTTAATTACATGATGAATTGGAAATTTTTAAGAACACTAATAAAGAAAGAAATCCGGACCGCTATGAAATGCGTCCGGTCTATCGGGTATACTCGGGCGAAGTGCGATTTACATAATTGCTGACAGCAATTATGTAAATCGCACTTCGCCCGAGTATACCCGATAGACCGGACGCATTTCATAGCGGTCCGGATTTCTTTCTTTATTAGTGTTCTTAAAAATTTCCAATTCATCATGTAATTAAGTATGTAAATATCTAGTGTTTAGTAGTTTAGTAGTAGTGCTAGTTGTTTTTGCTTTTGTTTCTCTTTTTCCTTTGTTCTTATGACTTTTTAACTTTTTTCTTTGTCCTGAGGAAGAGACAGGGCGTCCCAAAATTTGACAATTTTTATTGTTCGTGTCGTTGGTCATTTTTAGTGCTTTATATATATATATATATATATATATATATATATATATATATATATATATATATATATATATAATGCCCAACGTTAATAACTAATTAAAATGTTGACAGTTTTACGTTAATCTCAGAATAACATAGATGTACCAATGGTGGGTCAATGTGTGATAATTAAAAACTTGAATTGCATGTACTGGTAATAACAGGATACATTTGCCTCATGAGGTTTTGCAAACGTCGTCTCAGTTTGTCTTCTTGTCATATAAATATTGCAATAAAGTTTAATTGGACCTTCCTGGTTGAGTTAACATTGGCCTATTACAACAACCTTTTTTTTTTTACATTTATTATGTATTAGAAATACAATTTACTTGTGCATATTGCTTTTTCATTTTCAGCAAAAAGGAGGGATTTTTGGATGGTTTTCGACAATCTGAAATCTTAAAAGTATCATTATTTACTTATATGTCTGATACATTAAGATTTCGGGTAGAAAAATACATTGTATTCTTTACTTCTGATAATAATATAATTTGAAATAGAATTGGTAGTTTAATTTGATATCAAGCGGGGAGTATATTTTACTACATAGTAATGTACAATCAAAGAAATTTCTTATGTAATTCAAAGTATTAATGATAGGAAGTTCATTTGGAAATGCAATAGAAGGCAGGGTGTCTGTTGCGGCATGAAACCCGTTCGGGTCAAGGGCAAAGCCCTTGTAGATGTCTCGGCGGTGGAAATGCCTTTTGATTAAACTTTTAAAATAAAATGAAATAATTTTTTTCAAACGAATTACAAACTTGTTAGCTTTTGAAGCGTCGGATCAAAAAATGTATACGAACAAAAAAAACAGTAAAACGTGTTTTATTTTTTCTAAGAACTTCGTGGCGTCTCCATAGGAGTAGACATATTCTAGAGTGGGACGTTTAATAATAATCAACAAAATCAAACCATAGGGAAACGAGCCTATTTAGACCTCCTGCATTCCTTAAAAACCCTGCACACATTTGTTATTTACAGTTGTTGGGCTTAGTATGGTCCATTGTTCCGCATGACCAGAATAGTTATTATACCCCTCCCCCCGCTTGAAAAAGTGGGAGGGTATATGGTGATCGGGATTTCCGTCCGTCCGTCTGTTACGCTTTATCTCTTATCTGCAACCCCTTTTATACTACTGAGTGAAATTTAATGAAACTTTCACAGAATCTTTATTACATGTTACCATTGTGCACCTCCTATTTTACTTTTTTATTCGACACGCATTTTTAGGTTTCCCATAGCAAAACATGGACATCGCCATTAAATGCTTACCCGGTACCTATGACGTCACTTATAGAAGCTTCTCGATAACATTTGATAGGACGAGTTATTCCTCTTTACACATTACCATAAAACAATATATATCTCCACATGGACATTACGGGAGGCGGGGGTAATCATTTACCGAGCTCATTGCTCACAGTACCCTTAGTATTTTTTATGGTTTTTCCTATGTTGACCAATTGTTGTGTGGATGATATCGCAACAACTCTGTCAGCATTGGACCATTGATGAGTAAATGATAAGGCTTCAAAATCTTTGTTCCTTACTCTTCCAGCATATATACAAAATGTATGTCTGTTACAATGTACGAATACATTGCTGATTCTTAAGAGAAAAAACAGAGAAAACATTTAACACAACATGCTGCAACTATTCTGCATACACGTATATGTTCCATTTATTGACACCAAGCAAATGCACAAGCAAATGCAAATCTTATCTATTGATTATACCCCCCGCTTGAAAAGCGGGAGGGTATATAGTAATCGTTAATTCCATCCGTCCGTCTGTACGTCCATCCGTCCGTCCGTCTGTTACGCTTTGGGGTACCCATCTCTTATCCGCAACTCCTCTCATACCACTGAATGAAATTTGATGAAACTTTCACAGAATCTTTATTACATATTGCCATCTCGTGCACCTCCTATTTTACGTTTTGATCCGACACATATTTTGGGTTTCCCGGCCACAGGAAAACAGTGACTTTTTCACCAGTTATAACGATATGGGAGGCGGGGGTATCATTTAGTGAGCTCATCGCTCACAGTACCTCTAGTTATACCCCCCGCTTGAAAAGCGGGAGGGTATGTAGTAATCGTTAATTCCGTCCGTCCGTCCGTCCGTCTGTTACGCTTTAGGGTACCCATCTCTTATCCGCAACTCCTCTTATACCACTGAGTGAAATTTAATGAAACCTTCACAGAATCTTTATTACATATTGCCATTGTGCACCTCCTATTTTACTTTTTGATCTGACACATATTTTGGGTTTGCCGGCCTTGACAAAACGTGGACTTTTCACCAGTTATAACCATATGGGAGGCGGGGTATCATTTAGTGAGCTCATTGCTCACAGTACCTCTAGTTTATTTTTGTAATTTGTTTGATATAAAACTAGTAAGTTCAAGTCTGTTTCCTATTTTTATAAGAACGTTTAACCTATGAAAATGCTACTTTTGAAGTTTTATGAAGAGACATACTTTTATAATCGACGACTGACTTCTACAATTTAAACAGAGACAAACTGCATTTACTTTCATGTAAAAGTCAGCTGTCGAATGTTAAAGTAAGTATTTCTATAAAACTCCTTTATCAGACTAAGTTAAGTTAGATTTTCTTATTTTTGATTTAAGATTAAAGACTTGTCATCATAATCCTCATGCTCTTTTTGAAACTCATTTTTTTCTTTTCTAAAAAATTTCTTGATAAATCTTGTTTTCTAATTTTTCATCTGAAATATATTTTCCAATTTTTTTTTTTCTATTTTGGAATACTTGGTTAAGAAATCCTTAAGATGTGTGCTTAAAAGTCTTAAGTCAGACGTGACCAGCCTCAAGACAGCGTTACAACAATATGAAAACAAGATCAAGGCCATAAAATTTGAGTTAATTCGCACTCTCAATTTCTCGAGCCTTTCCGACTTGCGAAAAAAACGACCACGAATGTATTACATAAACGCAACCTCTCTTATCAGAAACATTGAAATTAATGATGAAAGATATCTTATCTGAAAATTTGGAATTAAACTTCATTGGATGTAAAGATTTTGCCTAAATATACAATAGATTAATTGTAAAGAGAAAATGTTTCGAAAACATTATTAGGATGTAAAAATACAAAAGTAGGGACTTTTAAATCCGTATATGCTATATCTAATGAAAGTGGAAGATGTATATCCGGTGTTGATAATACATTCGAGGTTGTTTTTCGACCCGCGAGTAAAGGACCCCAAGATTATAGATTGATGTAATAAGAAGTTTTTCCTTCATATTAATTTCTTTTTTTTTTCTTAATTACAATATATCTCTTGTTTGGAAATGATTACATTTCTTATTTAAATAAATTGAAATCCAATATAATTGTTTGATGTAAATAGAAGAAATTGTAGATTGTTCTGGAAACGTTTTAAATTTTCAAATATAACGTCTGCTTCTTTCATACAGGTGTTTTCAGAAACCCATGGACCATGTTTAGCATCTACTTCAACAACGGAGAGAGTAAATTCCTGTCCTACCACAGAGAAGTCTTGGGCTGAACGTGAAAGAAATAAGGATTGTCAAAGCATTCAACAAAACTGCACCATTCCTGAAAAATTCCGTTATCATTGCGTTGTCAATGAGTGACGAAACGCGACATTAGACCTGTGTACGCCTGTCAGACTTGTTTTTGGTTGGTATTCCGTTCATTAATTTTGACAACGTCAAAAATATTTATTGATACATGTACATCATACATGTATCTTTCTTGTCTGGTAGGCATGGAAGCTTAGTTATTCAAAATCAGTAATAAAATACTCGAACAATACTTTTATATTTATTTTTCAGAGTTTTGATTTTAAAATCTCACTGCCTGCAACCCACGTCAAATTGATTGACGTTTTGTTTTTAATTAGATATAAAAATCGATGACCTCAGATTATCACAAATACGTGGGGTATCCCAAAAAGTCATAGATAAGGAAAATAAGGAAAACAGTTTAAATTCTCTGCTAAATTAAATTTCTTTTCTTATCATAGCATAAGTACCATTTTATGATTATGCATTTCAAGTTTCATGATGATATCACATTTAACATAAGAAAAATATTTTTAAAAATAAAGAAAGCAGGTAAGACTTTTTTGATAATCAAAAACGTACCCAATTTACAAAAAGAAAATTTAGACATCATTAATAGCAGTTTTATTTGATTAATGGTGTTTGTTAATTTTAGAAATCTCTTCTTTTCATTGATAATTCATAGCAATTTCAGTTGTGAACAAATATCTCGATATTATGGTGATATTCAGTGCAAAAAGACAAGATAAAATTCAGCAAAGATAGCGGCTTAAATCAGGGAAATATTTTTAATTTTTATTTACCATTAATTGTATTTTCTCGATAAAACTAAGAAAAGAATTAAGAAATGTACTTGTGCACATAAATTATTTGCTTAATGATTAGTAAATTTAAATTAAACTGTTTAAAGTCATTCCTAGGTTAATTCTTATAGTGTTGGTTGTTGACGGGGAAGGAGGGGGAAGAGAAACATAATGATTGCATGGAATCAAAAAAAAAGATTAAATCATTGTAAATGGTTACTAATCAAAACAAGAAACTTCTTTTCTGCAAAATGGTTTTATATTCAGATGTTTGTCAGTGTTTACTTACCTTTGTCTTAGTGCAGAGAGGTCAATATTTATGACATAAGAGTTTGAAAATAACGAAAACTTCATATTTCTCGTTTATTTAAGGAATGAATTAAATAGCAACCCAAATTATACTGTATAACCTGGGTTGGGGCAGTTTACGCTTTATAAACCGCGAAGCGGTTTATAAAAAAGCGTAAACTGCTCCAACCCAGGTTATAGCAGTATAATTTGGGTTGCTATTTAATTCATTCCTTATAATTTAATTTTCAATCATTTAGAATATAAAACAAGACAATTTCTCTCTTTAAAACGCCTTCAGATTGTTCATTTTTTAAACGTAACGTCAAGCGGATTGATACGATTTTGACGTAAGTCATTGTGACGTAAGCAAACCAGATTATACAATTTAGATTAATTTTTTATCCAATCAAATGACTCGTTACAACTAAAATTAAATTATTTTAGCATAGAGTCAAGTCAGACATGATCAGCCTCAAGGCAGCGTTACGAAAATATAAAAACAAGATAAAGGCCATAAAATTTGAGTTACTTCGTAGTCGCAGCTTCTCGAGCCTTTCTGCGACTAGCGGAAAAAAACAACCTCGGATGTGTTACATGTACATAAACACCACAAACAACCCCTCTTTTCTTAAACATAGAAATAAATGTTGGAAGATACATGTATCTTATCAGTAGTGTATGTAGTTAACCTTTATTGGATGTAAAGATATTGCCTAAATATACAATAGATTGATTGTAAAAAGAAAAAAGTTTTGAAAACATATTAATTAGGAGGTGAAAATACAATAGAAGGAACTTTTAAATCCGTATATCTTATATCAAATTAAAGAGGAAGATGCATTAATCTTTAACATTCGGTTGTGTTAATACAATAAGGTTGTTCTTCCGACCTCCGACGAAAAAGACCCTAGATTATAGATTAAGGTACTTCGTAGTCCTTCCTTCGTATTGATTTCCTTTTTTTCTGAATTACAATATACTAAAATATACCACTGTTCCGAAATGCTTACATTTCTTATTCAAATAAATTGAAAATCATTATAATTGTTTCATGCAAACTGAAGAAATGGTAGATTGTTCTAGAAACGTTTTGAATTTTCAAATGTCTTAACCAGAGGATAAAGGTGAAAATATCTTCTTTCATGCAGGTGTTTTCTGAAACCCTTGGACCATGTTTTGCATCCTTTTCAACAGTGGAGAGAGTTAATTCCTGTCCCACAACAGAGAAGTCTTGGGCTGAACGTGAAAGAAATAAGGATTGTAAAAGCGTTAAACAAAACTGCACCATTCCTGAAAATTTCCATTATCATTGTGTCGTCAATGAGTGGAGAAACGCGACATTAGAACTGTGTGCGCCTGTCAAAAACGTTATTGGTTGGTCTTTTCTTTGTTATGATACAAAATCCACAAAATAGTTGATATATGGACATTGATGTCCAGTAAGCATGGAAGTGTACATACAATAATTCAAAACCAATGATAAAATACGCAAACAATTCTTTCTTTTTTTCCATTTTGGAGTTTTATTTTAAAACTCTGACTGCCTTCAAGTCATGTAACATTTACGTATGGTTGCAAGTTGTTTTTCGTTTGATCTCAGATAAACACTCAGCGTATTTACCGAATCTGTATATATTTTTAAAAATATTAACTCATATAACTTATTTTTTCAGATCAATGTGCAGAATATAACGCGGGGGCACATCAAACTCAATATAATCGTGAGAATTGTACAAATTTTTCAACACCTTGTCCTCATTTGTATAAATCAAACGAGGTTTACAAATGTAAGAATTTTTTTTAATAAAAGAAAGTATTCTAGATTTTTTTTTTCATTATCCAAACAGTTTTTAAGTATTTCCATTTATCAAAAATGTACATACACAGACAAGTAGAAACCATATTTACTTGTCAATAGAAAATACTTCACATTAACTTCAACATGATATCTAGTTAAATTTACAACTTCTGCAGATCCAGAGTGTTTCAAACTCAAGTCACCCCCTCATAATTCCAGCATTGACGATCATCAAAATAGAGTGAATGTGATGAACAAATCATGGGTGGATGATTCAGAAAAACATGTATCCGGACTTACTCAAATGTAAGAGTGTTGGCTGAAAAACTTTTTTTATGAATATGAAAATTGCTACTACATGTAATTAAAACAACCCCTACTTATTTTTTTAAAGATAGCATATATTTCAAACACATCTGCAACAAAAGAATTGAGTTGTCCTACTCCGAAAGAAAACGATTTATGAGGAAAATTTTCATGTTCCTTTTTATGTAAATTGCAGGAATAACTTTCTCATGACAACATGTTGAACTTAGTCTACCATTCTGTTTCTCATAATGCTGTGCAAATGAAAATTTAATCAATCCTGTTTTTAGCTAAAGATTCAATTACTTTAAACTGCATCATTGATTTTTTTTTTAAATATTTTCAGATATTCATCAAGATTGACGTTTTTAATGGCTTTTGTCACGGCATATCACCAAAGCACCTTTTGAAGAGGCATTGAAAGGTTGCTCCGATACCTATATTAAATTTGATGTCATTTAAAGGAGAACCCAACATCATACAAAGTGCCCTTTTTGAGAGACTGTAGGCAAATCTGGATAATTTCCAATGTCTGATCATGAAAAAAGTCCCATATTCATAACTGTTTTTTTTTTCATTTTTCATTTAAAATAACAGTTTATAAATATGATCTTGTTCATCTTGGTAATCTAAAAATCATGTCCCGAAATACCTTTTTTGACCAAGCTTAACTTATAAAACATCATTGCAAAAATTTATCAAATTTGAAGTAGAATGTATTGGCAATTAATTTATAATGCGGATTTCTGTTTTCGTTTAAGAATGTTATGTAAATAAAAAAAAATGGATGTTATATGTTTTTATGCTATACATACATGCAAAATGTGACCTTTTTGATTTAAGTACAGCATGATGTATAAAACAAACAAAATCAATGCTATACTACTAACTAACAATATAGATATGATAAGTTTCCGTTTTCTAGATTTTGGTTCATTAGTTTGATATATTTCCTTTCGCTTTTTCATATGTCGATGAGTTGAGGTTTCTTTCGGAGGCTCTACAGTAAGGGTAGATGAACCATTTTGTACAAAGCTGGACTCGGACTCTAAAAACAAAAATAGTTTGTACTTTTTGAGAGTAATTTCACTGTTACCTGTCTAAAAACATCAACTTAATAATATTATCTCCTAGAAATAATTATTAAAATCGTAATTTTAGCTCAAGACAAGAAGAATTAAGTCATCTAAATTTTAAAGTTTATAGTTAAAAACAATAAGAAATGTTTTTAAAAAACACCTGAAAATCTTGTCAAACCAACAGATTTGTAAATATCATGAATATGTGTAAATTATCTGAGTTTTAAAGTCTTTAGTTCATTTTATTAAAAAATAATTTAGAAAGTGTATGCAATTGCACGCAAAACCCGTGTCCTGCACATATGCGGAGCATGTCATTTAACCCTAAAATTACCCTAAACTCTATCATGAGCCATTATAAAGAACACTGTCGTTTAAAATAAAAGTGCACTGTGACCCACTTTTTGGTCGTAAATCTCCGAAAACCCAAGATGCATCACCTGACAAAGTTTAATAATCCTATGCCAATAAGTAAACAACTATATACTTATCAAAGCCATAAGACGTCGTCAAAAGTAGGTCAATGTGACCTACTTTTGGTCAACGCTCTCCAAAAATCCAAGATGCATCTACTAACAGAGTTTGATGATTCTAAGCCAACAAGTATCTGAGATAATTTTAATATAGCCATGAAATTCCAAAAGTAGGTCACCGTGACCTACTTTTCGTCGACCATCTCCGAAGACTGAAGATGCATTAACTGACAAAGTTTGAAAATCATAGGTATGAAAGTATTCAAAATATAAATTTGAAAAAAAGAAATATTTTGACAATAATAAAACAAATGCCTGCCAATTTTTTAAGTAGGTAATTTTAACCTTTTTTATAAAAATGTTTAAAGGCCTTAAGATACCTAATAATAACTAGGTTTGATGATTCTTAACCTCTCACTATCTGAAATACTTGCCTGAAATATAAAGATATGAGCCATAACATTCAAACAGGAGGTCACTGTGACCTACGTTTAAGCTGACATTGTTCAAGGACCCAAGGTGCATCAACTGACATACAAAGTTTGATGATCATAGGCTAAAGATATTCAAGATATGCCTCCAAATCAATTTGGACACAAAAGGAAGCCTTTGCGACAAGGATATCATGAGGAGACAATTTCAACAAGGATTGGCCAAGGGGTTCTTGAGTAATGACCAATATTTTAAAAAGGTTACACACACCGCACAAATGGCCAAAGCATTTGCTCTTTAAGCCTTTGGCCCAGAAGAAATAAAAAGCATATCATGATGGTCTACTACAATAATTATCAAATGTAGGGGAAAACATTAAATTCATTTTCATTGCTCTTACACGTATAATCTGATACTAGTATAAGATGTGTCTTGTTGGCTTTAAGAAAGGAATTTGTTTTTGAGTTAATTAATATTCTGAAATTACACTTCAACCATTTACAATATTAGCATAGAAAACTTGCAATGTCAACAATATGATTAAACATGGACTTCTCACAAGTAGTGACTTTTATCTAAAATCGGAATTTTACGTGAATTGCATTCACTGACAGTACAAAATGGGAATATGTAAACATAATTATTTAGATAATAGAATAGAGGAAACTAATATTGCTTATAAATAAATTGCTTGAGTAGAAAAAAAAATCTATGATTGAAAATGATGAATGGAAATGAATTTATTTTGTACTTATATTACTTGAAGACGAAGGAAGGATTCACATTTTTTTGTTAAGTAAATAAAACTGATTATTACCTGCATTCTTTTTGCATCCCAAGTTGAAGCTGCATTCTTCTATGGTACAATTACATATGAACTGACATCCCTTCCCAAATGACGGATATGGGCACTTTTTGTCACAGCCAAAGCCAACATAACCAAGAGAACACTCTATAATTGAGAGCATTTTTTTTAAGTTGGATGAAGTGTATATTGAAGAAATCGTCCAAGAGACGTGTCTTTATATTTCGTGTTCAAATATATAACTAGTGCAAAAGTAAAAAAATAAATAAATATTGTTCTGGATCAAAAAATGTTACAAGTATTACAAGAGGCCCAGGGGCCACAGCGCTCACCTGAGCACATCAGGCTTGAATTTACTCCACCCCCCCCCCCTCCAGGCCTTCCTCATTTGAACAAACTAGAATCTACACTACCTGAGGATGATTCCATATAAATATCACAAATCATAACTTTGCAGTACTTGAAAAGAAGATTTTAAAAGGTTTCCCTATATGTTCCTATGTAAAACTTTGATCCGCCATTTTGGCCCCATCCTACCCCCGGGGGTCATGATTTGAACAAACTTGAATCTACACTACCTGAGGATGATCCCACATGAGTTCCATCTTTCCTGGCCCAGTAGTACTTGAGAAGAAGATTTTTAAAGATTTTTCCTATATATTCCTATGTAAAACTTTGATTGGCCATTTTGTCCTCACCCTTCCCCCGGGGGTCATGATTTGAACAAACTTGAATCCACACTACCTGAGGATGATTCCACATGAGTTTCATCTTTCCTGGCCCAGTGGTTCTTGAGAAGAAGATTTTTAAAGATTTTTTCCTACATATTCCTATGTAAAACTTGGGTCGGCCATTTTGGCCCCACCCTACCCCCGGGGGTCATGATTTGAACAAACTTGAATCTACACAACCTGAGGATGATTCCACATGAGTTTCATCTTTCCTGGCCCAGTGGTTCTTGAGAAGAAGATTTTTAAAGATTTTTCCTATATATTCCTATGTAAAACTTTGATCGGCCATTTTGGCCCCACCCTACCCCTGGGGGTCATGATTTGAACAAACTTGAATCTACACTACCTGAGGATGATCCCACATGAGTTCCATCTTTCCTGGCTCAGTGGTTCTTGAGAAGAAGTTTTTTAAAGATTTTTTCTATATATTCCTATGTAAAACTTTGATCGGCCATTTTGGCACCACCCTACCCCCAGGAGTCATGATTTGAACAAACTTGAATCTACACTACCTGAGGATGATTCCACATGAGTTTCATCTTTCCTGGCCCAGTGGTTCTTGAGAAGAAGATTTTTTAAAAATGCCATTAATTTTTCGCTAATTCATAATTATCTCCCCTTGGAAAAGGGTCTGGCCCTTCATTTGAATAAACTTGAATCCCCTTTACCCAAGGATACTTTGTACCAAGTTTGGTTGAAATTGGCCCAGTGGTTCTTGAGAAGAAGATGAAAATGTGAAAAGTTTACGACGACAACAACGACAACGACAACGACGACGACAACGACGACAGACAACGGACAAATTTTGATCAGAAAAGCTCACTTGAGCCTTCGGCTCAGGTGAGCTAAAAAGAAAGAAATTTTACCTTGACATATCGATTTCTTTTCATTCCATATATAACCTGCACAACAGTCTGTAGATTTCGTCAGCCTATAAACAATAAAGCTAAATTCATCAAATGGATATGTCAAATGATTTAAAAATTCAAAAAAAAAAATATAATTATACCGTCAAACATACATTAAATTCATTAGACCGATAAGTCACATACATGTACTAAAAATATTGCTACCACTACAACCTACTACTAAATGTACTAAATGTACTTAATTAGGGGAACATAGCCTATCAAAGCGTTATTTTTATATATTTACATTACCAATGTCTTCGTTCGAGATAAAGCTACAAATAGTTAATGTACTTCATATCTATCTATATAAATTTACTTGATCTTCAATAGGAGCGTTTAAAAAAATCACATGCAGGGCGGGACAAAAAGGGACAAGAAGTGGGGCTTCTAGCACGTAGATTGGCGGAATCAATGTCATGTAAATAAAAGGGATAACTCTCATATTTTTCGATTTCATGACGATGATCAATTGATTCGGCCCTCAGCGTTCATGCAAATTATCATGCAAGCCAATTGATTGATCACATCATGAAATCTAAAAATAAGACAATTATTCCTTAAATAAAGAAAGCAACAGTAAGACGATGGTTATCAATCTTACACTCATACACCAAAAATTAGCTAAATATCTGCAAGCATTTAAAGAAATAAAATTCGAAACAATATGGAACAGATTGACAGACAGTTAGACAGACCTACACCTATACAGAGGCCGGACGAGTAGACGGATAGACAGAGGGCTAGACATATGGACAGACAGACTAGTTCAAAGTTAACCTTAGTCTCCGCCGGTTTCACCTGTAGGGGGACTAAATATATGTTTCTGAACAGTACTTGTAGTAAAGCAAGTCAAAATAAGAGACAAATTTAAAGAAATACCCTCCACATCCCTTTCCCACCGACAATGACTGATTCATCGACAAACATAATGTTGTTGCCATCAGGTTTGCCAGTCCAATCCACAAGGTTGGTATCCGATTCATTATTAATTAATTGTGTTGAAACAAACAAGCTCATAGTCAGATCTAAACTGGATAGGAAACTTCATTTATTTATGATTTTGTTAACATTAAATTTTAGTACATGTAATATTTTTAAAAATATTTTATACTTCAAGTTCTTGGAATCGTTAATGTTGATGCATGCCTTCCTCTTTAAAATAACTATTGATTATATATCAGATTTGTACCTGCTATTATACAGAAATCTATTTATTTACGTTTATTTTTCCTTGTCATTTGATAACCACAGAGCAGATTATATTAATTGATCGTTTCAGCTGTTGTAATTTTCAAAAAGAGGTAATAAATGGAATTCTCTCCAATAATTTCCTAAAATATGCACACATAAATATGTTGTTTCAGTCTCTAGCTTCCCAGAAATTATATTTCATCAAATATCTGGCTTTTTTCATGGAAAATTTTAGATGAAAAAACAATTTTTAGAATTTGGGAGGAAAATTTTTACGTTTTTTTTTTTTTTTGGCATGCCAGAGTTGGCTTTAATCTATATTTGCACAAATTTCAGCTTGTCTAAAACATTTTCTGTTTTCAAAGCTATAATTCTCCTCATAAGATTGTATTAAGCTAAAATTAATTACGATCTATATATAGTGCAAATCTATAATGTTTTTTTGATAACTTTGTGTGTCGGCCTGTTGCATAATCGGAAACTTATAAACTATATTTATAAGCAGACTAAAATTACAGCATCCATACTTCCCTTTTTTTTTCAACCAAAACAATTTTCAAAATACCCTTCACCCCAACCCTCCATAATACTATCTTCACTTGTTCACTGTTTCTGCTGCTTAAATTTTTATACTTTTAGATGAGCTGTCTACAGACACCTGAATTCTTAGACCTACATCCCATTAAAGTGGTTATTCTAGTGGTCAAAGCGAAGTTGTTTGGGGTCACCTTCAAGTTGGTTAAGGAAAAATGTGTATGTTGATTTAAAATGTTAATATAGACAAATTAAAGAGATTGTATATTTAACAATAATTGATGAGCCGGTGGTATAAATCCATCATGCGACTACTTGCTTTTCCAAACAAATAATTATAAAATAATTGACTTTTGATAATGTCTTGTCGTTACAATAGGGACCTGTTCATGTAATGGTTGACCCAGGCTGAAGACTTTTGATGATGTCTTCTCGTTACTATAGGGACCTGTGTATAGGTATTGGTTCATTCAGGCTGAAGACTTTTGATGATGTCTAATCAGGACTACAAGGACCTCTTTAGGTAGACCAATACTTGTATAAACCATTACATGTATATCAATTCTAGAGTACATGTACAGATTATTTAAAAGTTGAAAACTTAATTCTTTACGTTAGTTATACCATTCAAGTCATTTCTTTAAATGCAGCCATAGTCATACATGTATTCCTTGTTATTTGATAAATTCTTCTTTCCTAAAATAAGTCTGATGAAATGGATTCATGGTTCTTTCATCACAATTGTTAATATACAGATGTAATCAACCACTTGCTGATGTATTCGTCAGCAAATACATATGGTCATTTTTCTGCCTCATAATTCTCCCTTTCTGAACCCCACTGACAAATTATTCATTCTAATTCAAAACTTTAAGTCTTTAACTCATCTGGTAATACTTGTAATGATCTAAACAAGCTAATTCAGAGAATTTGTGTCCCCCGCGTAGGGAAAAAGTAAACAATGCAGAGTTCGGGGGGGGGGGAGTGGTATCCCCCTGACTGAATTTTTACAATAATTAAATCTATACATGTATACTGAAGCAAATAAAATATGGCAATATGGATATAAAGATTTGATTGCTTATTCTTTATTATGTGTATAGAAGATTTTTTTTTATATGAAATATTTATTAACACACTGTAATGATCTTATGAGTTTGTACAAGCCACACCTCATAAATTTTTCATTTCACATGCTGAATACTATCATTTAGTTAAAAAAAAGTATTTCGGGAAAAAAATATGATTCGTCTGGGAATCGAACCCGGGACCTCTCACATCTGAAGCGAGAGACATGCCACTAGACCACGGCGCCGCTCTGTAGAGAAGCGAATTATAAGCAATCATGAAGTCACATACAGGTATATATACATGTTCGGTATTGTCAAAATTTTACACAATCCACGCTGTTTGTTTTATATAACCTTTATTAAACAGTTCCAATAGATGTGATAAGAACATAACGTCCGCCGAGAACATGTTTTATACGCAATAACTCTCCTCATGCCCCTGTGCTAAAAATAGCGATATGTAATACTATGATTATTAATAAAACAAACGAGGCAGGGCACTTTGAGAGGGGTGAGAGAGGTCCTAGGGAGTTTTAGTATAAGATTACATTACATAAGCTCAAAATCTTCTTGAAATATCGCCCGGAAATGATAGTGTTACACACAGACAGAATGTATAAATTTACGACCTTGAACTTTGACCTTTTGACCTCAAAATCAATAGGGGTCTTCTTTAGGCCACAGGGAGTTGTTATGTAAAATTTCATTGCAATAGCTCAAATGGTTCTAGAGATATCGTGTGGAAACGAAAGTGTTATAACAGACAGAATTTGCTAATTTATAACCTTGACCTTTGACCTTTTGACCTCAAAATCAATAGGGGTCTTCCTTAGGCCACAGGGAGTTGCTATGCTAAATTTCATTGCAAAAGCTCAAAGGGTTCTCTAGATATCGTGTGGAAACGAAAGCGTTACAGACAGACAGAAAGACGGACAGACGGACGGACGGACAAACCCAAATTAATATCCCCCAATTTTCAAGCGGGGGGCAATAAAGGTACATGACACTAATAAACTTGAGCGTTACAGACAGACAGAAAGACGGACAGACGGACGGACGGACGGACGGACGGACGGACAAACCCAAATTAATATCCCCCACTTTTCAAGCGGGGGACAATAAAGGTGCATGACACTATTAAACTTGTCCCAATAAACAATGCATAAAGGCAATGGAAGATAACTCTTGCAGAAACCCAATGTTTTAGCTTTAGGGAAATAAAAAAAGTTTCATTGTCTCAAAGCATTAAAGTAAAACTTTGCTATTTATTACATATATTTGAATTATTTGATTTTTCTTTTTAAAATCACATGCAAATTGACAACTAGCTGTGTCTTAGAAAATTGCTTCCTTGAATTCAAAAGCATTAAGTCTGTTCCTGTCACACTTACACTTACAGTTGAGATTATTTTTTTCCAGCCATCTTTTTCACAATTTGAAAAAAAAATCTCGCATTATAACTAAGTTATTGGCATTTTTTTCAGTCATTAGAAAAAAAGTGCACAATTCACTTTAAATGAGGACTGTTCATGACAAAAATTGTTTCCCTCACACTTCTGAATAATTATATAATTTTATCAGCCAAAGTCAAATAATCCCAAAATCATTGTATCTTTTCATAAACAGACTGCATCTTCTTTATAAGCATTAGCGCCTTTAATAATAAGCTTGCTGTCTTCTCTATTCAGATAATTATAAAGTTTACTGTAGCAAAATGATGGACGTTCATCTTCTTCTACTTCCAGAGAGATAGGTCTGTTGGCGGGTATTTCTTTAATATTCATCATGGTTGTTTTGGGAACCTCCAGATGTATAAATCTAACCTGAAAACACATAAAATAAAATATAACTTTAAAGTAATCATGTGAATTATTATATATAACAATGACAACAAAAAGCAAAGAACCAGCTTGAAAAGAACTTTCTATAAATGGCTGCTGATGTGTAGCTTGCTGGTCCGAAAAAAAAAATGGGTTGGCCGACCAGAGAGCTACAGTGTTACCCATTAAACCTCAGTGGCTTTAACCAAAAGATTCATTCTGGCAATTTTGGTCGATATTGGATTGAGGTTCTAGAGAAAGTACAAAGTTTTAAAAGTAAATAATGATGAAAACAACCACAGTGAAGACAGAACATTTTTATCAGAAAAAAGTCATTTGAACCTTCAGCTCAGGTACATGTACATGTCAGCTGAAGAATGTTCCTCTTCCCCAATTAAATTTTCAAATTATCTTGATACACTGTAGTCCTTCTGCCCTCCCCACCCCATTTAAGAAGTACATGTATACTTATTAAACGCTGTAGTTGACTAGCAAATCACATTGAGCTGTCTTTCAAAATAGAAATTAAGGTTTAATGATATCTTAGCAGAATCCAAGCATAAAATGACTTTAATTGTATAACATTTTTATTATTAATTCAAAAAGAAAATCTGGATTCAGCACATGTTCAAGTGTGCAATTATTTCATTCCTGTTTATTCCATAGAGAATTGTTTTTTTTTTTTTTTTTTTTTTTTTTCTTGAAGAAACTAACATCGATTTATTTCAGGCAGATTATGAAAAAAAAAAATAGCAGAGAAATATAGTTGTTCAATTTTTTAAGACTTTTTAGAGTAAGCAGATCTAATGTATGAAAAATAAATAGTCTAGAAATAGAATAGAAGTACATGTAAGCACAGAATTTTATGGTAGCAAGAAATTTAAATCATATTTTTTTATTAAGTTTTTTTAAATACAAGCGTGTGGGTGCAGTGAACAAAAAATTAAAATTGGTTTATCCTAATCCATTCTTATAAATTCCATAATGATTGATCTTGCATCATACTCAATAGCATATTTTGTCCCATCCAACAGATGTTTTTCTATCTCCACAGCAAAAGTTCCACTAAATTAAGTAATCTCGATATCAAGTATTGGCTATTGAATAGCTCATGTGTTTAGTTAATTTAATAGTTAATGACCATAACATTTGAAATTTCCTGTACAATTAAAGATCATACTTTATACAATGGGAAACAAGCACTAACTTCTTTGAGTACCCTTTCAAGATTGGGCATGTACATGTACTTACAAAGTATCAAAACAAAATACTTGAAGCATTTCTTCAAACAAGGCCTGGTATCTCTGATATTGCTTTCTTGGGAGTTTCTGTGATAATACTGTGCAGATAAAAGCTGATTGTATGTAGTTTTACAGTCACCCTGCTAAATATAATTAGTATGTTTTTCATTCTAATATTGTCTTTTAATAGGGCACAATTCCAGTGGTTTTAATCTGGTAAGTGACCTTAATGTTTCATGGCATCTATCACGTTTTGATATCACAAAAATATCAATATCTTATATTTTAAGATATACCCATCCCAGGTATTTATATATTTATGCTGAAAACCATGCAATGGTCATGATAGTAGGGGTTCTACTCCCCCTTTCCTATACATCCTCTAGGTGGTTTATCATTTGTGTGTTTGTTGTTTAATGTCCCTCTCAAGAATTTTTCTTTCTACTGAGATGCTACCATTTGCTGGTGTAGGGCTACAAATTCTGACCTATACTCAGCATTACAGCCATCAAGCAGTGAGGAATTTTTTTAAGCCAGCATTTTCTCACTAGGACATGGGACCAAAGTTTATATGGTCTCATCAGAATGACTGGGATCTATATCCCACAGTGGAATTCTAAACTGTGATGTACTTACTCCATGATTCTAGAACAGACGCTCTAACCACTGTGCCACTCAGGCACCTTCCAGATGGATATATTTAAAGCATTTCACATTAGATGTTAATTTTATTGTTTGTCACAACAAGCATAAGTTGTCAAAAATACATGTATACATAATATCTTTACCTTTTAATTAATTTTATACTTTAAGACGACTTGTATCATGTACTAAATACTGTATTGTACATTTCAGGGAGGGAAATAAATAGTTTTATCAGTGTCACAACTATAGTATGATGCTGGCAATCTGTCTTAAGAGTTTATATTCACTATTCCTTCTTTTTCGTTTAGTTTCAAAGTCAGCATCTGATTTTCATCTGGATTCCATTTTTTCTTAATTTCTCATATCATATGCACTCTTTCTTTCGGGAATTTCTTTTATCGCCTCATAATCAAATTTAAGATCAGAAGCATTTACTAAAGTATCTAATGTTGCTATTAAACTAATTGAGAGACGAAGTAAGCATCATTTATTTGATATAATTTTCAATAAGTCCTCTTTGAAAAAGCGAACGCGAAGTTTACAAACGAGATGAGTCCATTCAGTGATTCGCAAGAACTTGAACTTTCTGTCCCAGGGTGATCCAAGCAGTTTGATATTGGCGAATATGTTGCCATTTTCTAATATTATACATTCACCGACTTTTTCTCCAGTTGCCGTGTGTTGATTTTATGATTATGCATCTGTTTTTCTCATGTGACGATACATTGTGCGCTCTCATTAT